TTTCCTTTCCTTTCCTTTCCTTTCCTTTCCTTTCCTTTCCTTTCCTTTCCTTTCCAAAAATCTACTTTGAGATCTTTAAAGCCACTTTTCCTCCTGAATGATTTGGTCAAAACCAACTTGTGTAGGATGAGTAGGTCCCAGAGGAGAGTTTTCAGGCCATGCTTTCTAAGTTCATCTAACACTCATTGGACTCCCTGTTCTTTGGGGCTTCCAACTTCTTCTTGATCTGTTTTTAGATGGCGTCATCCTACCCAGTGAGGAAGACCGGAAACGGATTATTACCCAAATGAAAGTACGGACAACCCTGAAAGGAGACAAGAGTTGGATCCAGCAGAAGTCTGATCCTGAGGTGAAGCAGAACCACAGTCCTTTGTGAGTATGAAGCAACCCTGCACCAACATTTGCTTCAGTTTCCTGAGCATTTTCTTCCCCTGCAAAAATGGCTTCTCTTTTACCTACCTCACCCTCAGAAGACACTTCCACACTCTGTCCTCCTTTCCTTCTGGCTTACAGAAGAACTCAAAGAACATCAGTCAGTCAGTGTCTGCCTCTCACGTACCTTTAGCTGATCACGTGTGAATCGTACTTGCCTCAAGATTCCCCTCCGCCCCAAACTGAGTGGCTGCTATTTGTGGGAGAGGAGAGAGGGTGACAAAACAGCCAAGACAACATAGGGATCAAACCTCTCTAGGGAATCAGGAGAGGTGGCTTGAAATCAAGGAGGCAGAATGAGGCAAGTTTCCACAGCTGTAAGCTGGGCATAGGAGGAGATTCCACCTTTTTGCGTGCAATTGTTTGATATCTGCAATCTGCTGAGGAAATGATGAAACAGGGAGGGCAGGGCACTCATGCATCACCACGCAACCCACCCACCACTTGGTGATTCATTATTATATTCTTCCTCTGAAACATTAATTTTTTAATGCCTTTCCCCCCCTATCCAATTGAATTCAAGCTAAGCTCTTCTTCAGGTCAAGCTCAACTCCTGATAACTTCCGGCACATGTCCATGTTGGGTTTTTTTGGAGGGGGCAACCGGAGGGAAAAACTTTGCCACAAAATTCTCCCACAATGCCTTTTCAGCTTCCCAGTCTAGTGTACAACTCTGGGCTTTTCTGAAAGGCATTTTCAGCCTAGCACTAGTCTAGATTCCATGTATCTGTTGTTTAGTTGGATACTCATCAATCCAGTTCAGGTCCAAATCTATCCAAACATATTGTCTTGTGTCCTAGAGAAAGATTCTTAAGGGATCAAGCAGCAGCCATTGCTTCGTTTGCAATCCCTACCCTGCCCCTGCAATTTTGTTTCTTCTGTTGAAGAGAATTGCCATGGTGTCAGACTCCAACAGAACACTCCCAGTGAGCTCTGCAAGGGCTAAGAAATCCAAGCATGGATTGCCCATCCCTGCTGTAGAATTATATCTAAAATTTCCCATACCATGTGTAGAGGGCAGCACTGACACCACGAGGCCACTCATGGATAGTTCAACAATTACCCTAATGCTAAATGCTGTATCCTTGCCCTAAGGCAGTTGCTCTGTTCCAACTCTCTCCAGATGTGTTGGACTATCCCACCATCATCTTCCAAACAGGCTAGATGCTTAGAAAAGATCATTCAAGAAGGATGGGAGAGATGCTTCAGTGCAGATGGCATCTCAGGGACTAGCATTTCATTTGCCTGGTCTGTCTCTCCCACTCTTTCTTTATTAATACATTTACATTCCACCTTTATTTGTTCAACTCATGGCAGTGTACATAATGCTCCTGCCTCCTATTTTCCCCACAACATCAACCCTGTGAGTTGGACTGGGCTGAGAGAGAGTGACAGCCCCAAAGTTACCCAGCCAGCTTCTATATCAAAAGGAGGACTAGAACTCACAGTGTCCTGGTTTCTAGGCTAGCCCCTTAACCACTACACCAAACTGGCTCTCCACAATGGCATCAGTGAGATGAAATGATATTTTCCCACTGCTGTTTTGGCCATAGTTCTTTTCATTTCTTCTTCCCTCACCCTTTTGGTTAGACATTCTCCCTCAAGGGGCCGAGGCACCATTGCATGACCTCTTGCATCAAAGCTTTGTTGCCAAACTGCAGATGCCTGTGGTGACTCTCCCACCCATGTTTCTCTTCTTTAGGGATCTGAAAGGGAAATTTTGGGGAGTTGTAATGCATGTCCAAGAGGAAAAAGCTTACTAGTTTGCAGATTTCCTCCCCCGCCCCCCCAGGGGTCTGGCAAGGCCAAGGGCAAAACTGAAAGGTCCGACCTGAATGTCCTAGAAGCCATGACAGAACAATATGAACAGTTCTTCTGAATCCAGACTGCCTTCTGCTTTCATGCTCATTCATTAAAAACAAGCCAACCACAACTATTTACTCTAAATTAAAATGGAACCCAAATGTACAGAGATGCTAGATATGTTCGTTGGTCTAGTCTTAAGGATCTCCTTATTAAACAAACTAACCAGAAAGAGATACCATCACACAGACATGGATTAAGCTATCCATCTCATAGCAGTGCATTGCTTGAGTTTCAGTCTGGGAAGTCTGAGAGCTTCATGAACAAAATAAACCTCCATTTGGGTTAACGTTCAGATAATCTGCTGGGGATGGAGCTGAGTCAAACAATGGATAGGGCCAGAGCAAAAGTGGGTGGAGATGTCCGTTTTATTTTCAACTCTCCTTCTTTTTCCTGACCCTGTCTTTTCTCTCTTCCAAGCAGCAGGCCAGAAGCTTTTAGCAGAAGTCTGATCTAATTTCTTGAGGGGTGGTAGTAGTGAAATTAAACCTCGGGTAGCATTGAGGTAGCTCATAGCACAAGTTGCACATCTCTGTTGAACAGATCCCTTTGTTCACATGGGGTTTAAATATAGATGTAATCTTCTGGTGTTAAACCAGTTTCTAGAATTGACACTGACCATAAGTTAGTGGCACAGAAATATTTGCATACATAAATCATCTCTTTCCATAGCTCAGTGCCAGATCCATTGTGAATTTGAGGTGCTTCATCCTGCCTTGCCCTGCTAGGATGCTAATATCCTTATTCTGACAATCTCTCTCTTCTTCCAGGGTAGCGTGTACAGCGCCATCTTCCCAAGAAGAACCACAGTCTCCTTCAGCCCAGAAAAATCTTCCTCCAAAGTGAGTGTGTTGCTTTTTCATTATATTTTTTATTGCAATATTTCACCCAAATAAAACAAACAAAAAACACTTCCACCAAGATTGGCAACAGTGACACTTCTATAACAGGGGAAGGCTTGGATTACCTTCAGTGATTGAGAAAGTCATGGTGGGGGGCTTACCTGTGACAAAACGGTTCAGAGTTTGTGTCTCTCTTTTCCATCTAGGTCTCCTAGCACCACATCATCTTCTGGGTATCTCA